CTTGGTACTGTACCATCCTATGCACATTCTAAATAATCAGTGTTTACTGATTACTTAGAAAATAAATTCAGATTATGCCACTGTTATGTTATAGTCCTCCAGTAACATAAAATTTTCAGAGTTTTAAAAGTTTGCCAGGTAGAAAAACTTAGCAAAATTAAAAAAGGAATTAGGAGAAAAATGTCGAAGAAAAACAAACATTAGTGGAGTATGCTGATGGGAAAAATCAACATAAGCTTCATAATTTACAATGTCTGGATAAAAAAATAATGTGCAGATACTTAAGAAAAATGTTACATTATGGACAACTCCAAAGTGGTCTTAAAGGACAACGTATTTTACATTTATTTTTGAATTTCAATAGAATTGCTTTGAATTGCTATTTTATCGATAAGTGAAAACAGATTCTTTTATGACTTAAGTTATAAAAGCTTATAGTTTATCAGTTCCCTCTCCACCCTGCAATTACCTACAGGTGGAGATTGGCCATAGGTTCAATTTTATGAGTTTTATAGGAATATATTCACCCCAATCTACATACTATAAATTCCTGGAAAATTCTACAGATTGGAGAAAATGAAGTGCTTCCTTTGGATCAAAGACATTTCATTTGAACTCATGCATTTATCCATAAACGAGTTGCCCCTAATATTTCGTAAAAATGTTAAAAAACATATTTTACTTAAATATATGCATGAAGCATATTATACTAATGTGTAATAATGCAATATGTAGCAATCTTGTGAACCTACAGAGTGGGGTAAACAATGATGACAATCCAACAACAAAAACTCAAAATGTTGTAGAATAAGTACAGATATCATAAAATTCAAAAGCCTCAGATAAAATTAAATTTGTATGGTTCAGATTAGTATATTTGTGAATAAATTTAGTGTTAAGGGCAAGTAACATCATAAACAACTCAGATACATTTTCAGAATAATAAAATACTCTAAAACATATTTAAGTTTAGTACTGATGAAAAATTATATGACAAAAATTTATCAATCAAACCTTTAGAAAACCTAGAAGTTTAGCTGCAGAATAAATAAATAGCTTGGTCTTATAATAAGAATAATGAATCAACATTTAAATTTCTAACCAAGCTAGAATATTTAATTCCTAATAATTAATGCAATACTTAGAAGAATGGCAAAAGGTTCCATAACTGGTATAACCCTGATGAGACAGCCTGGATTTTGTTTCAACCTGTTGTGGCAGGTGTGTAGCCTTCTGTGAAAATGTATGCTGTAGTTTTATAAACTGACCAAAAAAACCCACCAAAAACATTTGTTAAAACTCGTTCTCATTAATGAGGGTTGTGGAATCATTGAATAAAATAAGAAGAAAGGTGTAATACTAGTGTTACAGATTTGGAATAAAGAGGCTTTACAAAAATCAGTGATTGATTATAATAGAACATATTAATGCTATTTGAATTTTATCGTATCAGTTTTCACTGGAAGAGATTCAAGAACAATTCCCAAATCACAAAAAGTTCTTTATGTGTATTCAGCATGGCTTACCATGTTTTAATTCCACCATACAATATGAAAGCTATGGGAACTGCTGTGCATATAGCTGTACATTAAAAGGCAGATATGTTTTAACTATGTTCCTTATGTAACAACCTCAAATAAGAAAAAATCAAACATGTAGGGGGAAGACTTCCTTATGCTAGTTGCTCTTTCTCTTTGATTTGCAAATAAGCCCTTCATTTAAAGGAAATATGGGACTCAAGCCTGTGCTGATTTAACTATTAACTAACTTTTACACCTGCCTTTCAGGGTTCAGACAATGACCTCTGATTAATCTGAGTCTGATATTATACTTAACTTGCTCTAGGCTATAAGCAGGTGCAGCAACTAATTCTTAAAGTGGCATGATCTAATTATTTTCATATAATCTAGTATTATGACTGTCTAATGTCTTATTTGCTTTTCCTATAATGCTAAAATGTCTGAGTGAATAGCACTCAGGACAAAAGTCGGTGAAAAGCCACTCATTTAACCATCAAATCTGAACTAGGACATTAGGTTTAAAAAAAATAAAAGAATTTATAATACATGAATAGGCAAAACAGGCTACCTATATATATAAAAAAATAACTATCAGGCTAATGCCCAGTGTCTCTCCTGAAATACTAAACGCCAGAAGGCAAAAAGATGATCAATTTCCACAATGCTTTGAGGGAAAAGGTTATGATCAAATAATAAAAACCATGGCCAGTTGCCTTATGCAAAGATAACAGAGAGATATTTTAAAATAGGTAGGATCAAATAATATGCCTCTCAATTTATAGTTCTTGAAAAAAATAACTTGAAAATGCACTCTTAGATATAAATTACATTAAGAGCAAAGAAGGCAAAAACTAAAAACAAAAACAAAAAGTAGTGACTACAGCCAGATAGGAAGGTTTGATCCTTTTTGATTAAATGGTTAATGCCATGTGGGGATATTTTTTTACTTTCTATCAAAAGAATCTCAAAAAAAGATATGGTATTGTTTATATCAGAAAGAAGAATTCCAAACAAAAAAAAATTAAAGTTCATTCAATAAATGAAAAAAAGGGAAATAAGTAAATTAAAAAGAGTGAGAAAACACAGAGAACAAAGGTACAGAAGTGGTTTTGTTCTCAGGCTAACTTATATTTACTTAATGAACACTCACTACATCACATTATAGTGCTGTAGGATAAAGCTATGCTCTGTAATTATATATTTACTTAAAAGTTCATTCCAACTTGGAATATCAATTCCCTAATTTAGAGACTTGAGAAAGTCTCATTGCCCTCACCTGGTGAATAGTTGTAGCTAGCATCTCCTGGCCTCAAGCCATTCATGGTGGTTACTCAAGAGCAAGAGGGAAGTGGGAATGATAAAGTGTAGTGAAGAAAGCTAGAAATTGGTGGTTAGGTACGAGGTCAAGAAGTCATTCAGGTCCCTAGGCTCAGCCATTCTGAAATCCTAGCCTACTCCCTTTCTATTTTTTTTTTTTCTCAGACTCCAGAAATCTCGCTCCTTTTGGGGCCAATATAGTACAAAGTTTGACCTTACAAATATCCTACCTTGTTAAATTTTTGGATAGATATTTTCCTATTTCTTTTATCTTTAAATATGTTCTCCTCTTAATCTCTTTAATGAAAATAAGGTCATACAGGCACAAAGAATGGAAATTAAGTATAATTATATTTTCTGTGAAAATCAGACTTTACCTTCCTTGGACCAGAGGACGTGGGTAATGAACACACTTGCGATCCTATTTAGAGGTTATGGAGAAAAAGTTACCGTGAACTGACAGTATGCAGGGGGGCTGTGGAGGAAGGGTAGTAGAATATGCTCAGTTTGTAGTAAAGAGACAGAGAAGAAGATCTTAAAAAAACACATCAAAAAGAAAGCTTGGCGCAAGTCAAAACCTGGAGAACTAATGAGTGTTTGGGGAGGGCCTGTATAAACCGAGTATATTAAAACCTATTGATTGCACAGAGTAGAATGTTATTAATATATTAAGAACTATCATTTAATAACCCAAGTGGAAAAACATAATCAAAAGACCAACAGTATCAAAACCATTATTATTATTGTTCCTAATTCATTGTAATTATTATGAGATCATTAGGGCACCACTATAACATTCATAGCATTATTTCTCATGGTTTCATGAAGCTTTGGTTCTATTATTTCATCATTTAACTCACATGGGCATCTATAATAAGCCTATAGAGTAAGACAAAAAACTCTGCCAGACTGCACTTTTCTGAGATCTAGAATGCATGTGTGCGCGCGCGTGCGCGCGCGCACACACACACACACACACACACACACACACAGAAATGTAAACACTGGTGTCACAGGAATACTCACAGGAATAACAAATTTCAAAAGTATGCAAAATAATTCAATGAGTATAATATTCAAATATCTTCCATAATTGCTAATCTTCAATTTTTAAATATTAAAGAATGAAATTTGCACAATGTTATGGCTGCTAAAGGATAACTGGAACACACACTATAGTCAAGTATGTTTTTATGATTGCTCTGATAATTAACTCCTCTAACACTAGTCTTTTCTGGAGCCCCACATATTAAGTCAGCAAACATACTGAATTAATCATATGGATTTATTACAAATAGTAAATGGAGTCAATCTGCTCTTGAGGAAAATATAAATTATCAATAAAATTCAAATACGGTTGAATATTTTCTTTAAAAAGATATTACTAAATCTTTCTCAAATCTTTCTCACAACAGGAAATGATGAGTTGTATGGAGTACTTGAAAGACTTATTGTATAGCAAGGACAAGAAATAAGATTATGCTTAGGGAAGACTAAGATATACTTTATCTATTATCTTGTTATGAATCTTTTAAGTGAGAACTAGCAACTGATGTATATTTCATACAAATATTATTTTCAGAAACTAAAAGGGAAATTTTATCATCTTCCTTCTATATCATCTTCTATAGTTATTTTTAATATAGTAAATAGACACTATAACTGTTAAATGTCTTCTGTTACTTGGTAGTAATATAAGAGGGATAAAAGTAAAGATTTCGCTTCTATAATAATTCCGTATTCCGTAAGAAAAATGAAGCATAATGGCCTTTCATTATTACAAAACATTTACTCTAAATGATGCTAGTGTACAAAATAACACTCATTTTAAAAAGGGTTTAAATAAATTTGTATGTAGATTTACACACTTTATCAAAAGTATAAAGCACTTTTAAAATAAAAAACATTCTACTTATAACATTACTATAAACAAATACCTACAAAAATGATGATAACAGCATCTAATTTTCCTATATCTTGGCAAAAATGAGTAAGTTTTCTTAATTAATTAGAAAATGTGAGGTTAACTTTCTTGAAGGGATATAACTTCTGACAAAAGAGAGGTTATAAGAGCTTTCTACAATGGCATTTTGTGTCACTCTAACCAGTATCATTTTGTAGCTTCTTATCAGCTTTACCAATGCAGAAAACAGACTGCCTTACCTTTGGTGGTCCATCTACATGATGGTTACAAGGCATCGTTCCTATGTTGAAAATTCCTGTTAAAAGAAAAGATTGTGAATATTTGCTTATTATACCTATCCATTTTATTTTGAAAACATTTATGTCAGTAAGACACAACTTGTACAGCTCAAAAGAAAAAAGCCTCACTAAGATGGCAGGATCCTTTAAAGTTGTATCATGAATTCTATGGTCAGAAACAGTTGGGAGAGTTTAGCTAAGAGGCTTCAGTCAAAGTAAGCTAAGCCAATTTTCCCATTCCAGTGGCCTTTAGCAATAGCACAAGTGTTCGTATCCTGCTCTCAGCTCAAAAATTATACTGTTATCTCTGCTCTGCTGTATTTCTTCCTTGAAAGTTTTATTTTTGACTTGAGGTCATCAAGTTTTCATAACTATCACAAAGGCTATTAAATAAATTGCTTATTTTCTAAAAAGAACAAATAAATGTATTTGAATTTCTTTGATTTGATTTCCTACTATGATAATATTGTGCTATTTATTCAGTCACCATGGAGTGTCTTAAAAGAAAAAGTTCCTCTAATCTTCTTCTTTAAAATGATAATATCAACTTCGAAACTTGAGAAAAATCCTTTTATCGTGTGTGGATTTATCCTTTTGTTCCCAATGTCCTCTATTGCATTTCTTTGTAATAAACAGCTTCTAAGGATATGGATAGCACACTGCATCTCATCTGTAAAGATTCAAGTTCAAAGTCAAACTCAAGTTAAAAATGAACACAGGTGTGGGTCTCATTTACTTTGCAATCTTCTTCCATCAGCAAACCAACATGTGAGTTAGGATGTTAGAGTGTCTGTTCAAAAAATACTAAAGGTTTGATTAGAAGTGAGAACTGCAATTGGCTATTACTAGTAATTAACAAAATTCCAACTTAAAACAAAACATTAGTTCCTCTCTTTAAGGCATTTAAGTTATTTTTCTTAAAACATAATAAGGAATTGAATGAGATTGACACAAAATGATCATTTTTTTTATCATTCTGCAAGAGTATATTCAAAATGAACAGAGTACCATAAAACACGATTTAAAAAAACCCCATAATTTTTGCTTCATTTAAAAAAATTCTCTCAACATCTGTTAGCCAGTGAAGTGTAAAGGACAATACTACCTTTATTCAATCAACTATTTACTGAATGGCTATTGGACACTCAGTGATAAAAAATAAATTATAAAGGAAAAATTATGATTTCTGACCTCAACAGTCTAGAAAAACAGAGATCCTTTTTTTGAAGAAACACTACAGAGCAAATTAACAGCTTTGTCTTAAGTGTAATAAAGTCTTTAAGGTAATTTAAATAAAAAGACATGTTTTTATTCATAGAGTAACACTGGCCTTAAATTTAAAAAAAAAACTAAAAAATCCAAGTAAAACAAAATATTCAAATAATACAAATTTTTATGGCAAGATTTTAGTAATACTGAAGCATACAGAACAAATGGTGAAAGCCCTATTTCCTCAGTCCCCACATTCCCACAACTCTCTCTAGCTGTGACTACTAAGAACAGTCTGGCATGACACACTGGATTTAAATGGAAGTGGTCATACTATGGGGTTCAGGAATCAGCAACATTTTGCACATGTGTTCTTAGTATTGTAATCCGACTGCTACACAACTGACCCAGGCTAATTAAAGATTTTAAAATTCTTGTCCAATTAGACAATAACTTCAAAATGATAGAAACAAACAAACAAAAAACCCAAATCTATATTTTCAGCTTATAAAATTACAAAGAAAAAAATACATATTTTACAGTTTCAATTTCAGGATTAAAAAAGTGTTAAAAATATAATTTTTTAAAGTGTATTCCCCAAAGATATAATCTTAGTTTTAAATTTAGATAGTGTACTGAAATATTTGGAAATAGAATCACATGTGTTTGTTCAAACTTTCAGTAAAGAATATATAGAAAAGTGTAAGTTTAAGGCAAAATATCCCAAAAGAGCTTCCTATTTTATGTAAATTTTACTTAAAAATCTATATCTGTATCTTATTTCACTTTTATTAAAGTGAAAGTTCATAATAAGTAGCTTACTGTGGTGACTATTTCTGTGTGTCAGCTTGGTTAGGCCACAGTACCCAGATATCTGGTCAAACATCTCAGAAGTTCCCGTGAAAGTATTTTTTGGTGTTAACATTTAAATCAGTAGACTTTGAGCTAAGCAGATTGCTCTCCATAATGTCGGCAAGTCTCATCCAATCAGCTGAAGGCCTTAAGAAAGACTGACCTCCTTTCAGAGGGAATTTCGCCATTAGACTGCTTCCGAACTTATCTGTGACTCTTCCCTAGGTTTCCAGCCTGCCAGACTACCTTGTACATTTTGGACTTAACAGTCTCCACAACCATGTGAATCAATTCTTTAAAATTAATCTATTGATATTCGCATTCTATCGGTTCTCTTTCTCTGGAGAACACTGACTAATATACTTTTTGAGAAACATTAAATAAAATAAAAATATAATTATTTGTATCTATATTTTAAATTGAAATTTTGTTCAATAAATATATTAATTATGCAGAAATATAGTTTATTTTCTATTTTTTAATTTTTTTTAGGCAAGGCAACCCTTGGTTGATCTCACAGATTGCAAGGACCTTGTCAGCTTACAATCTCTTATTTTTTTACTTTTTATTTTTTTTTACGCCTATAGCACCTGGTCTTCCTAGGTAGTCTCCCATTGAAGTACTCACCAGGACCAACCCTGCTTAGCTTCCGAGATCAGATGGGATCGGGCTTGTTCAGGGTAGCATGGCCATAGACAGAAATATAGTTTAAATGTACAATTTATCATGGAGTATTTTAAAACTAGAATACCTAAAATGAATTTAAGAATATACAACATTTGTAGTGTAAATCAATTTATCAATAAACAAAAAAAATTTTTTTAAACCAATGTGTCAAATATTTACTGCTAGATTGTCCATTCTGACAACCTCTGCTTTTTAATGCGTGGACTATTTACATTTAATGCAGTTACTGATATGGCTGTGTTTAAGTCTCCCATCTTCTTATTTTATTGCATCTATTCTTGTTCCTTTCTTCCTCCTTTTCTATACTCTTTTGGCATAATAAAATATCTTTATTTTATGTCACCTGATGGCTAAATTTTTAGCTATACATTTTTATATTTTTTAAAATAAATTTATTTACTTAAATTAGTTTCAAGTATACAGTACATTGGTTAGACAACTTGTATAGCTAATAAGCATACTTCTATATGAGAAAACCATTTGTCGAAAAGCTTAGACCTGTTGGAAGTATTGTACTACAAACTTGCCAACAGGGAAGTTATTTTATAGTCAATCAATTCATTATTATATTTGACAAGTATTAGCTACTTACCAGGTTTCAGATACTGCCCCAAAAAATTGTTGGTAGAAAAAAATCTGTTAAGACAATTTGGAGTAAAATTGAGAGAATAGACAATATGGTTCTCCCTTCAACAGCATTTAAAGAAATTATCAACAAAATCTAAAGACAACGTACCGAATGGGAGAAGTCTCCAATGGTACATTTGATAAGAGGTTAATATCCAAAATATATAAAGAACTTATATGACAACACCAAAGATACAAACAATCCAATTAAAAAATGGGCAGAAGACCTGAACAGATACTTACTTCTCCAAAGAGGAAATACAGATGGCTAACAGACATATGAAAAGATGCTCAAGGCTGCTAATCATCAGAGAAATGCAAATTAAAACCACAGAGAGATATCACCTCACACCTGTCAGAATGGCTATCATCAATAAATCAAAAAACAGCAAGTATTGGCAAGGATGCGGAGAAAAGGGAACCCTCATACATTGTTGGTGGGATTTCAAGTTGGTACAGCCATATGGAAAACAGTATGGAGGTTTCTCAAAAAATTAAAAATGGATATACCTTTTGACCTAGCAATTGCACTTCTGGGTATTTATCCAAAGAAAACGAAAGCACTAATTTGTAAAGATCTATGCACTCCAATATTCATGGCAGCACAATTTACAATAGCCAAGATATGCAAGGAACCTAAATGCCCATCAATAGACGATTGGATAAAGAAATTATGGTTCATATATACATCTTCATATTTTTTAATGGTTAATCTACAGATTATAATTGACATCTCTGTTACAGTATACCCTGAATTAGGATTTTCCATTTCACAAACAATATAAGGACCCTAAAACAGTATTACTCCATTTATCCTACCATCTTTTATGCTACTGTTACATTTTACTTTTACATGTTATAAATCCCATAATATATAGCCAATATAATTGCTTTAAAGAGTCGGTAATCTTTGAGAATTAAAAAAAAAAAAACTCATCTTTTTTATTTAGATACATATTTATCCTTTCCAGTGGATTCATTTCTCCCTGCAGATCCAGGCTTTCATCTGAGATCATGTCCCTTCAGACTGATGAACCCCCGATAGAATCTCGTATAGTGTAAATCTCCTGATGACTGATTATGCTGTTGTTGGATATTTTTTTCCTGAAAAGTTTTTAATAGGCATCATCTATGAAGGATATTTTTGCTGGGTATTGAAACCTAGGTTGATAGCCATTTTCTTTTAGCATTTTATTCCACTGTTTCTTATGAGAAGGCAGCCATCATTCTTACTGTTATTCCCCTGAATAAAATTGTTTATTCCTTTGGCTTTTACGATTTTCCTTTTACATTAAATTCCTATATTTTCTTAGACAGAACTGACATTTATATGATGTTACACTGTCTTGTCTCATAACAAGGGATGTCTTTCCATTTGTTCCAAGATTATTTTTATGTCTTTCACAAGTATAATAAAGTATAAAAAAATAACTTTTTCATTTATTTTATTAGTCTTGTTGTTGGTTTTATTAATTTTAGCATTGACTCTTTTGGACTTTCTAGGTATAAAATTAATTATCTGAAAAACAGTTTTATTTCTTTTCCAATTCTTAAAAAGCTTGCAATCTCAGTACACACAACTTTATATTAAATTTAGCAGGAAAGATCTCTCCCTTCTAAAACTCTACATTCTACTGAAATA